TGGGGGCTGTGAAGGAAGCCAGGTCTCCTGACTCACATCGAGTCTAGGGAAGGAGTCAGCCCAGCATGAGACCTGAAGGCAGCCACCTAACCCAACCAGCTCACAGGAAAGGACTGAGTAATCCTGTAACCCCTGGGCCAGACAAGGGGAGAGGGCCTTTTGGTGGGAAACCTGACTAGCTCTACACCAGGGACTGTTACATTTTAAGTGGAAGGTTTGGATCCCCTTGCCCAGGGAGTCACCCAGTATAGCTGGCTGAGGAGAGGATTCATCTGGGGTCTGGGGTGGTACATCAGGAGAGGCTGGAAGCTCTCCAGGAAGAAACCCTTTTTGCTGCATAGAGTCTTGTATATAGTTGCTAAGGAGTTGTCCTCAGTTGCAGTTCCCTTGGGCATCCCATACACCCCTCAACCACTGTTTACTGTCTCCAGATTGCAAGTCTTTGAAAATAAATGCATGTTGCCTGTCTGTGCAGGACTATAGGGGGGTACAAATCTTCAGCAACTCCTAAGGAGGTAGTGCTACATATTCTAAAGTGGTAGAACTTGCTGGACAAATCACCAACAATTTTTCCCAATTGCAGAAGATACTTTGATAGATGATTGGATTGAGGATGGTGAAGGCCAAATTTCGTTCTGTCAATCATTGAACTTTTAGTTCTAGTTAGATAATACCTGTATATGTTATTTGTATAAAGGAAACCATAAGGGTTGGGGGTCTTCCTGTATCCAGAAAAAAAAAAGAAGCAGACACATAAGGACAATGATGTACATTATGTATTATATTGCCAAAAGTGCAGGCACAGGGTGAACATTCAAACTCCAGGCACGTGGTGCCATGGCTGAGATTCGAACCAAAAACCCTAGTACTGCCAAGCAGAAGTGCTAACCATTTAGCCACGGTGCTGCCCAATATAAGTCCATCTGTGAAATTTCCTGGCTACTAAATATTCCACGGTCAACTGTTAGTTGTATTACAAAACAATTGGAAGAAACTGGGAACAACAGCATCTCAGCCACTAAGTGGTAGGCCACGTCACATGACAGACCGGGTTCAGCGCATGCTGAAGTGCACAGCAGAGTCAATAACTAAAGACCTCCAAACTTGGTGTTGCCTTCAGATGAGCACACAACAACAGTGCGTAGAGAGCTTCATGGAATGGGTTTCCATGGCCAAGCAGCTGCATCCAAGCCTTCCATCACCAAGTGCAATGCAAAGCGTTTGATGACATGGTGTAAAGCATGCCGCCACTAGACTCTAGAACAGTGGAGACGTGTTCACTGGAGTGATGAATCACACTTCTCTGTCTGGCAATCTGATGGACGTGTCCAGGGGCGGACTGACAACTCATGGGGCCCTCGGGCAATAGGAATTCATGGGGCCCCTGTGTCCTTGCCCACACTTAAACCACACCTAAAAAAGCCTATGAAAGGTACCAGGGGCATCTCATGGGGCTCCCTACTGACCCCGGGTCCTCGGGAAGTGCCCAGGTGCCCGAATGGTCAGTCTGCTCCTGAACGTGTCTGGGTTTGGTGGTTGCCAGGAGAATGCTACTTACATGACTGCATTGTGCCAAGTGTAAAGTTTGGTGGAGGGAGGATTATGGTGTGGGGTTGATTTTCAAGGGTTGGGTTTGGCCCCCTAGTGAAGGGAACTCTTAAGGCATCAGCATACCAGGACATTTTGGACAATTTCATGCTCCCAACTTTGTGGGAAGAGTTTGGGGATGGCCCCTTCCTGTTCCAACATGACTGCACACCACTGCACAAAGCAAGGTCCATAAAGACATGGAGGAGCCAGTTTGGGGTGAAGGAACTTGACTGGCCTGCACAGAGTCCTGACCTCAACCCCATAGAACACCTTTGGGATGAATTAGAGTGGAGACTATGAGCCAGGCCTCCTCCCCCGACATCAGTGCCTGACCTGACAAATGTGCTTCTGGAAGAATGGTCCAACCTTCCCATAGACACCCTCCTAAACCTTGTGGACGGCCTTCCCAGAAGAGTTGAAGCTGTTATGTCTGCAAGGGGCGGGGCCAACTCAATATTGAACCCTACGGACTAAGACTGGGATGCCATTAATGTTCATGTGCGTGGAAAGGCAGGCATCCCAATACTTTTGACAATATAGTGTATAATGTAGACTGTTGTCCACATTTCTGCATCTGGTACAGGATTGGTTGAGCGTCACACCACAACACATTAATTGGCGGTGACATACACTGGTTTTCCCTATTAATCTGACTTCTGTTTGGGTTTCAGTCTCTTCTCAGGAACTAAGGACCTCTTCCCAGGATTTCCCTTCACGAATGGCAGCTCGGCTGTGTCCATTGAGCTGGAGAGACCCGTGTCCCAACACTGCCATGGCACATGTTTACCATCGGACTGCCAGCAGAAGCTTCATGCTCGGAAGAAGCTGTACTTTGCCTGCATTGTATGCTTTATCTTCATGATCGGAGAGGTGGCAGGTAACTTGTTATGGAGATGTAGATATCTGTGTCAGTAGGGCAGTGTACATCCCATGGTCCTTCTGTGTCCTTCCAGGGGGTTATATTGCCCACAGCTTGGCCATCATGACAGATGCAGCTCATCTCCTCACTGACCTGGGCAGTATGTGTGTCAGTATCTTCTCCTTGTGGATCTCGACACGACCTCCAACCAAACATATGACCTTTGGTTGGCACCGGTCCGGTAAGTGGAACACAAGAGTTTGCTGTGGCTCAATCAACTTTCCTCTCAGGAAGCGTACATTTTTTATCGGTTCGAAATATCCATGTAGAGGTGGGCCAAGAAGAGTGCTCCATTGTTAGTGTCAATGGGAGGAATAGTGTGTCATCGTTAGTATGAATGGGAGGAATAGTGCCCCACCATTGGTGTCAGTGGGAGGAATAGTGCCCCATCATTGGTATCAGTGGGAGGAATAGTGCCCCATCATTGGTGTCAGTGGGAGGAATAGCATGTCATCATTAGTATGAATGGGAGGAATAGTGCCCCACCATTGGTGTCAGTGGGAGGAACAGTGCGCCCTCATTGGTATCATTTGAAGTAGGGCCCCATCATTGGTGTCAGTGGGAGGAATAGTGCCCCATCATTGGTATCAGTGGGAGGAATAGTGCCCCATTGCTGGTATCACTGCGAGGAAAATTTCCCCACATCATTGGTGTCAGCGGGAGGGATAGTGCGCCCTCAATGCTATCAATGGGAGGAATAGTGCACCATCATTGGTGTCAGTGGAAGGAATAGTGCCCTCATTGGTATCAATGGGAGGAATAGTGCCCCATCATTGGTATCAGTGGGAGGAATAGTGCCACATCATTGGTATCAGTGGGAGGAATAGTGCCCCATCATTGGTATCAGTGGGAGGAATAGTGTCCCATCATTGGTATCAGTGGGAGGAATAGTTCCCCATCATTGGTATCAGTGGGAGGAATAGTGCCCCATCATTGGTATCAGTGGGAGGAATAGTGCCCCATCATTGGTATCAGTGGGAGGAATAGTGCCCCATCATTGGTATCAGTGGGAGGAATAGTGCCCTGTTCCTGGTATCACTGCGAGAAAAATTTCCCCACATCATTTGTGTCAGAGGGAGGGATAGTGCGCCCTCAATGTTATCAATGGGAGGAATAGTGCACCATCATTGGTGTCAGTGGGAGGAATAGTGCCCCATCATTGGTATCAATGGGAGGTGTAATGCCTGATAATTGGTGTCAGTGGGAGGAATAGTGTGCCCTCATTGGTATCAGTGGGAGGAATAGTGCCCCATAATTGGTGTCAGTGGGAGGAATAGTGCCCCATAATTGGTGTCAGTAGGAGGAATAGTGCCCCATCATTGGTATCAGTGGGAGGAATAGTGCACCATCATTGGTGTAAGTGAGAGGAATAGTGCCCCAATGTCGGTCTGTGTAAGGAATTATGACTCACTACTGCTAACAGTGGGGTGGGGGTAGGGGATAATGCCCCAAGGGCCGAATAAAAGCAAGCAAAGGTCCACATTCGGCCCACGGGCCACAGTTTGGAGACCACTATCATATTGCATGGCCCAAATTCTTAGAAGTTTTAGATTACAGACAGATACCCGGCTGTAGACATTTCCCAACACATCTTGGAAGTCACTGGACTTTTGTTAACTTCACACAATGTCCAAAGGCAGCAACTCATGATTATCCCTCATCCACCATGCTTCACAGTTGAGATAAGGTTTACCAAAACATAAGCTTTACTCTCCCCTGTACACAGGTCTTTGTACAGTTAAGACAACCCTGTTTGAGGGCTGTGTGGTGTGCTGTTTACTTGATGTTTCTAGAACAACTCTTACGCTTTGGAGGTCCACAGAGAGTAAGAGAGAGAAACCACATTTTTGAGCAGTGTTTTTCTTCTCAGTGCCCTTTCATTGACACCATTGCTGTACAGAAACTGTAACAAAGACAAAGAGATGTCTGCAAACTTTATTTTTTGTGATGTGTTTGAGGGTTGAGTGCCCTTTCCCTGATGTGTGTAGGACAACCTCTCCTTTGCTTAGTAGTAACAGTTGTAAATTCCTTTCAAACTGTCTGGTGGAGACCCAGTTCTTTAGAAACCCATGAGAAACCCTTACCAGTTATAAGAGCATCATGGCACCAAATTGCCCTTCCATACAACCCCTTTGAAGAGTGCAGATAGTTAAAATTCTTATTTTATTTATTTGACAAGACACATTAAACTCAAATTTGACTGCAATTAAACACTTGTTCTGTTTTGGAATATCTTTCTTCAGTCACCCTCTGTCATGGTGTCATTGTCCTATGGCCTTGGATATTTACCAATGTAAGATACATTCTTCCCACTGACCATCAATGTAAGGGTCATTCTTCCCACTGATCACCAATGTAAGGGTCATTCTTCCCACCGATCACCAATGTAAGGGTCATTCTTCCCACCGATCACCAATGTAAGGGTCATTCTTCCCACTGACCACCAATGTAAGGGTCATTCTTCCCACCGATCACCAATGTAAGGGACATTCTTCCCACTGATCACCAATGTAAGGGACATTCTTCCCACTGATCACCAATGTAAGGGACATTCTTCCCACTGACCACCAATGTAAGGGACATTCTTCCCACCGATCACCAATGTAAGGGACATTCTTCCCACTGACCACCAATGTAAGGGACATTCTTCCCACCGATCACCAATGTAAGGGGCATTCTTCCCACTGACCACCAATGTAAGGGACATTCTTCCCACCGATCACCAATGTAAGGGACATTCTTCCCACTGATCACCAATGTAAGGGGCATTCTTTCCCTTCCACCAATGTAAGGGACATTCTTCCCACCGATCACCAATGTAAGGGACATTCTTCCCACTGATCACCAATGTAAGGGGCATTCTTCCCACTGACCACCAATGTAAGGGACATTCTTCCCACTGATCACCAATGTAAGGAACATTCTTCCCACTGATCACCAATGTAAGGGACATTCTTCCAATGACCACCAATGTAAGGGACATTCTTCCCACTGACCACCAATGTAAGGGGCATTCTTCCCACTGACCACCAATGTAAGGGGCATTCTTCCCACTAATCACCAATGCAAGGGACATTCTTCCCACTGACCATCAATGTAAGGAACATTCGTCCCACCGATCACCAATGTAAGGGGCATTGTTCCCACTGATCACCAATGTAAGGGACATTCTTCCCACTGATCACCAATGTAAGGGACATTCTTCCCACTGATCACCAATGTAAGGGACATTCTCCCACTGATCACCAATGTAAGGGACATTCTTCCCACCGGTCACCAATGTAAGGGGCATTCTTCCTACTGACCCCCAATGTAAGGGACATTCTTCCCACTGATCACCAATGTAAGGGACATTCTTCCCACTGATCACTAATGTAAGGGTCATTCTTCCCACTGATCACCAATGTAAGGAGCATTCTTCCCACTGACCACCGATGTAAGGAACATTCTTCCCACTGACCACCAATGTAAGGAACATTCTTCCCACTGATCACCAATGTAAGGGACATTCTTCCCACTGACCACCAATGTAAGGAACATTCTTCCCACTGATCACCAATCTAAGGGACATTCTTCCCACCAGTCACCAATGTAAGGGACATTCTTCCCACTGATCACCAATGTAAGGGACATTCTTCCCACCGATCACCAATGTAAGGAACATTCTTCCCACTGACCACCAATGTAAGGGACATTCTTCCCACTGATCACCAATCTAAGGGACATTCTTCCCACCGGTCACCAATGTAAGGGACATTCTTCCACCGGTCACCAATGTAAGGGACATTCTCCCCACTGACCACCAATGTAAGGGACATTCTTCCCACTGACCACCAATGTAAGGGACATTCTTCCCACTGATCACCAATGTAAGGAACATTCTTCCCACTGATCACCAATGTAAGGGACATTCTTCCCACTGATCACCAATGTAAGGAGCATTCTTCCCACTGACCCACCGATGTAAGGAACATTCTTCCCACTGACCACCAATGTAAGGAACATTCTTCCCACTGATCACCAATGTAAGGGACATTCTTCCCACTGATCACCAATGTAAGGAACATTCTTCCCACTGATCACCAATCTAAGGGACATTCTTCCCACCAGTCACCAATGTAAGGGACATTCTTCCCACTGATCACCAATGTAAGGGACATTCTTCCCACCGATCACCAATGTAAGGGACATTCTTCCCACTGACCACCAATGTAAGGGACATTCTTCCCACTGATCACCAATCTAAGGGACATTCTTCCCACCGGTCACCAATGTAAGGGACATTCTTCCCACCGGTCACCAATGTAAGGGACATTCTTCCCACTGACCACCAATGTAAGGGACATTCTTCCCACTGACCACCAATGTAAGGGACATTCTTCCCACTGATCACCAATGTAAGGAACATTCTTCCCACTGATCACCAATGTAAGGGACATTCTTCCCACTGACCACCAATGTAAGGGACATTCTTCCCACTGACCACCAATGTAAGGGACATTCTTCCCACTGATCACCAATGTAAGGAACATTCTTCCCACTGATCACCAATGTAAGGGACATTCTTCCCACTGACCACCAATGTAAGGGACATTCTTCCCACTGATCACCAATGTAAGGGACATTCTTCCCACTGACCACCAATGTAAGGGACATTCTTCCCACTGATCACCAATGTAAGGGACATTCTTCCCACTGATCACCCAATGTAAGGGACATTCTTCCCACTGACCACCAATGTAAGGGACATTCTTCCCACTGATCACCAATGTAAGGGACATTCTTCCCACTGATCACCAATGTAAGGGACATTCTTCCCACTGACCACCAATGTAAGGGACATTCTTCCCACTGATCACCAATGTAAGGGTCATTCTTCCCACTGACCACCAAAGAGCTTTTTCCCAGAGATCTCTAGTGCATTCTTTCCACTGACCACCAATGTAGCATCTCACCCACTGACCATCATTGAAAGGAGGCGTATTTGTCAAATATGTGAAGTATGTCACATTCTTTATTCTTTTATTTTTTCTTACATCTACAATATACTATTTACGCAAATGTACCTTGAGATGGTGATACCATCGTTATCAGCAGGGGTTCCCTGAGACTGGAAAGTTACATTATGGGTTCCTTCATGTTCAAAAGGTTGACATTGGCTGTCCCTAACCTTCATAGACTTTTCTGCCTTCTATGGAATGAGATCTGGGTGGAAACTGCTTTATATGTGGTCTTACCAGGGGTGGACTGACCGTTTGAGCACACGGGCACTGCCCGAGGGCCCGGGGTCAGTAGGGGGCCCCATGAGATGCCTCTGGTACCTTTTTTATAGGCTTTTTTGAGTGTGGGCAAGGACACAGGGGCCCCATGATCCCGTATTGCCCGTGGGCCCCATGAGTTGTCAGTCCGCCCCTGGGTCTTACATGTAGAACTCCACAGAGGGCCAGGCGTGGGTGGTAGATATGTATTTGGTGGATTCATCTTGTATTTCATGATATTGTGTTTGGTGGATTCTCGCTGATGACGGTGATATCTCCATTGATGTAGAGATTCTAGGGGCTCTGGCGTCGGTCCTCTCCATCTGGATTGTGACGGGGGTGTTGGTGTACCTGGCTGCTGCCCGAATTATCAATAACGACTATGATATTGATGGACACGTCATGCTGATCACGTCTGGCTGCGCCGTGGTCGTCAACATCATGTGAGTGAGGAAAGTTTAAACTTGATGTAAACCAAAACACTCATATAGAAGCTTTAGCATGTTTATGTCATTTTAAAAATCTGGCCAGGTTCTTGTTCAGGCACTTCCTGTTATAGGGTGACAACATTCTGTCCCTGTCTCCCCATTGTGTTCCTGTGTTGTCACCAAGCAGTAATTTGTGAGGCAGCATTAGGGCCCATTTACACTTGCTTCAACATTAACACACATTAAAGCGCCTACCGCTTCAATATGCTTTTTTGATGTGTTCTTGATGCTTCTGTGATGCTTTTTTGAAGCTTTAATGAAGCTCAGCGAATGCCCTGTGTGCGTTTTGTGTTCATTTTGTTTGTGCGTTTTGTGTTCATTGTGTTCAGTGGTAACCCCCAGCTCTGCTGATCCCTGCTCAGTAGTAACCCCCAGTTCTGCTGATCCCTGCTCAGTAGTAACCCCCAGCTCTGCTGATCCCTGCTCAGTGGTAACCCCCAGCTCTGCTGATCACTGATCAGTGGTAACCCCCAGCTTTGTTGGTCCCTTGCTCAATAGTAACCCCCAGCTCTTATGATCCCTACTCAGTAGTAACCCCAGCTCTGCTAATCCCCTGCTCAGTAGTAACCCTCAACTCTGCTGATCCCTGATCATTACTAACCCCCACCTTTACTGATCCCCTGCTCAGTAGTAACCCCAACCTTGGCTGTTCCCCTGCTCAGTAGTAACCCTCAGCTCTACTGATCCCCTGCTCAGTAGTAATCCCCAGCTCTACTGATCCCCTGCTCAGTAGAAACCCTCAGCTCTGCTGATCCCCTGCTCAGTAATAACCCCCACCTCAGCTGTTCCCCTGCTCAGTAGTAACCCTCAGCTCTGCTGATCCCCTGCTCTGTAGTAACCCCCAGCTCTGCTGATCCCCTGCTCAGTAGTAACCCTCAGCTCTGCTGATCCCCTGCTCAGTAGTACCCCCAGCTCTGCTGATGCCCCATTCAGTAGTATCCCCAGCTTTTCTGATTCCTGAAATCAGTAGTTACTCCCAGTTTTGCTGATTCCATTTTCAGTAGTAAGCCCCAGCTTTGCTGATTCCCTGCTTAGTAGTAACCCCCAGCTCTGCTAATTCCCTGCTTAGCAGTAACCCCCAGCTCTGCTGATCTCCTGCTCTGCAGTAACCCCCAGCTCTGCTGATCTCCTGCTCTGCAGTAATCCCCAGCTCTGCTGATCTCCTGCTCTGCAGTAACCCCCAGCTCTGCTGATCCTATGGTTTACTGATCCTACTCTCTTTCCAGTCCCTGCTCACCTCTCGCTATATTTCCCCCTATGCTGCTCACCACATGTGACATTGCTAGTTTCTCCTGCTCCAGTCTCCCAGCTCCGCTGATCCTCCACCATTCAGTCCGCTCTCTCTGGTCCCTGCTCACCTTGCACTATGGCGTTCCCATGTTGCACACCACGTGTACTGTCTGCTAGTTGCTCTGCTCCAGTCCGGATCCCGTTCACCTTCATGCTGCTCCATGCTGCACACCAGATGTGACGTCTGCACCAGTCACTCCCAGAATATATACACATGACCATGAAGTGACTGCTGGTGACATCTTTCTGGTTTGCTTGTTGGTTCCCCAGTGCATCCTGGGATATCTCATACCAGCAATTAACTCCAAAGCAAAGCAAAGCTAAAGCTGAATAAATGCCCCTCAAAAGCTGCAGGTGCTATTGGTGAGCTTTGGTGTATTTAGGTCTTGTGCTGCCCTAGGCAACACAAAAATTGGAGGCCCCCCCCCTCTCTGGCGGAGAGAGAACCTGACAGTGACCAACAACACCCCAGCCCTACCCCCCCACCCGAGAGAGCCTTTCACTAACAACCCCCCCCCAGCGGCCAACATCAGTTGGGCTCTGCATGCACCATCAAGCAGCCCACAGCCTCAGATCTCACCTAGTCCCCATGCAGCCTGTGTCCCTTCTTCTGGGGGGCAGTGCTTCCCCCCTAAAAAATGCTGCCCTAGGCAAATGCCTTGTTTGCCTTGCAGTACATACACCCCTGCATAGATGTCTTTGGAGGCTTTGGAGACACTTTGAAGCACCAAGAAAGCGACATGGGATATAATTTTTGAAGCACAGTAAACACAATAGTGTGAACAGGGCTGTGAGCTTACCATTGTATTTAGTGACAGGGGCTTTGTTTGGCATTCAGAGCGCTTTAGAAAAGCGCGTCCAGTGCCAAATTTTGAAGCAAGTGTAAACAAGCCCTAAAGGCAGATCTGTTTGTGAGAATCCAGAACCTGATCCCCGATAATGACTATGGATCTCCTTGTTCCCTCAGCATGGCCTACATCCTTCACCAGTCCACCACC